ACATTAGCCCCTTATCTTCTGGGCTTCTACAATTGGGATGGCTATTAACTACCGGTCTTAGAGGTCTCAACCGTGAGGTTATAGCATTGCAGAGCAAAGTGAGAGAGTTGGAAAAGGAAGTTGGGACTTTACAAGATGCAAAGGCAATCGTGCAAGAAGTAATTACTACTCAATCAGAGCGGCGCTATGAGCAGCAATGCACTGTAGAATGGCTGGTGGCGTGTATTGCTAACAAACAAAGGCACAGAGGTGGGAAAAGTAAGGTTTCAATTTCCCAAGTTCATACTCTCACTATGAAATCTTGATGGGATCTCAAGGAGCAGGATGGAAATATCTGGAGTGAGTCCTTGGACTCCGAGATTGAGTTTGAGCCAGATTTAGCAGATAGGGAGGTGGTAGAAGCACTACCCCTCATACAAGTGGAGAGGCAGAGGGATCTGACAGACAGAGGAGTACAGATCACATGCACTTATAGTCTGAAAGAGTTAAGGGAATTTTTAGAGGTCTACCAGGAGAAGAGTGAGGAAGGCATACTGGCATGGATTTTGCGAGCTTTGGATAATGGTGCTGCATCTTTCCACTTATTAATGTGTGAAAAAGATCTATTAAGTCCTACAACCAGAGAGGATCAAACAGGGATGTGCTTGATTACAAAATATCAGGGGCCCTGATGGGCAGGATGCTGCTGCACCTTTGCTATATAAATGGCTGTGTACAGCAACTTTAACAGCATATGCAGATGCTGCTGAATTAGTGCGGAAGACTGTTGAGGAGGACTGTAAATCGCTCAAGTGACCTTGCAGCTGGGAATAACCCTTGATAAACCAGTGTGAACAGCAAGCCAGTGATCCTCTAGCATGGACTGAGTGTAATGGTGCCTGCATCTCTGCTTGTGTGCTTCTGCCTGGACATTGCTTCAGGGATCCCTCAGTTAGCAAATTAATGGGAAAAAAACTACTCTATGTTTTAGTTGTATTTGTGGTTGTCCCAGCTCCCTTCCTGTGCTGACTCAAACATAGGTGCTTCATTATGAGAGACACATGGACATGCTGGAGAGAGTTCAACCAAGGGCCGTGAAGATGATTAAGGGACTAGAGCACCTCTCCTATGAGGAAAGGTTGAGAGAACTGGGACTGTTTATTCTAGAGAAGAGGAGGTTCAGGGGGGATCTCATTAATGTATATAAATGCCTGAAGGGAGAGTGAAAACAAGATGGAGACAAGCTCTTTTCAGTGGTGCTCAGTGACAGGAGAAGAGGCAATGGGCACAAGCTGAAACATAGGAGGTTCTGTCTGAGAATCAGGAAACACTTTTTCACTGTGAGGGTGACTAAGCTCTGGAACAAGTTGCTAAGGGGGATTGTAGAGCCACCTGGACATGATCCTGGGTAACCAGCTCTAGGAGGCACTGCTTGATCAGGGATGTTGGACCAGGGCACCTCCAGACATCCCAGCCAACCTCAGCCATTCCACAATTCTGTGAACAGACAGGGGACCCAAGACAGAAATGCATGCATATGTAGACACTTGGCTTTTGAGGCAAGCTAGTGTTTGTAAGAAATCTGAGTAACAGTCCATACCCTTGAATAACACACCCAAGATAGGTTAAAAAAAGGCTCTAATTTCTTTCAGAGTGAGAGAGACAAGTTAGAGGTACTGTCAAAACTCTCACTTCTTCCAACCTTACTGCATGTCAGATGAGCAATCATGATGACCTCTTCTGTGTAGAATGACTATGAGAACATTATCTTTGTGCACTGAGCCCAGACTGCTGGCAAAAGCTAACAACAACATTATAGAAGTGAGAGAACCAAGAAGCTCCTATGGGAAGAACAAAGCCTTATTTCTAGAAGAAACTACACAGTGAAAGTAGTGACAGCTATAAAGGCTTTCTACTGAGCACTTCAGTAGGTCTGACAGTCTACAGAATCAGTTATAATACTAATACCCTAATAATATGGCCACTTCCTGGCCACCTCATTTGACCTCCAAGTCCCCAGAGATGTTTAAGTTAAAATGTAATTTCATTCTGTTCCATGTTCCACCCACTTCATGCAAATGTCTCGTTCTGGCACAGTACCAAACAGATGAAAAATCTGGTTAAATCAGAAGAGTTGCAAATAATCTGAATTACACCATACATACTAAACATAAGTACTTACAGGCACCTAAAGCAGGACTTGTTCCCCAACAGCTTCAAAAAAGTTCATATCTCTTCCCATTTCTATACATTAATATGCCCTTATCCCCCCAGAAGGGAACATTTTTGCAGCACTTGTAAGCTCAATATCAGTATCACACTAAGGACACCTACAGGGTTTTCAGTCAGCACAGAATGCAGGTAAAAGACCGAGCTGATCCAAGTCTCATTGGTCTCCAGAGCTAACATACACAAACAAAGGTCAGCATTCTCACATGGGCAAAGTCTCATTTGCCATCTTGCAAGACAGTCTAAGGGCACATGGGCACCCTACCTTTGCCTGTAAAATTCAACACAACTTCCATGCTCCATAACGCAACATACAGATATTTGGTTGATTAAACAGAGGATGCAGAAGCAAGCCATGCCCGAGCCCTGAGGTGCAAATTCATAGGAGAGTACACCAAATTCCAGATGTGCTCTATTCATAGATGTAGTCTCTCTGCAAAGATTGTCACAGGCTGCTCCACATTTTTGGGAAAACAAACTTCTCTCACACAAATGCACAGTAATAATAATAATGGCCAGTCTTCGTGAGCGAAGATCCGGGGAAGGTCTTTACACCTTCCAGCCTGCGCATTGGATTTTTTAGGTGAGACACAGTGTGCGCGGAACTGAGCCCACCCTTTAATCCTAAGGTTCATCTGCCGGGGCCAAGCGAGCTTGGACGGTGGCAGTGAGGTCCTCAGGACGTAGATGGGTTGCCTTTTTAAGGGCTAATGAGCTCCATCTGCCCGGGAGTGGCCCTGACTGGGAATCGAACCTGGGCCTCAGTGGTGACAGTGCCGCGCCCTTACCACTAGACCACCAGGGGCTCCACAAATGCACAGTATTCTACAGTCTTCATGTCAATGTCAGGTATGCTGAATGCTAGGGACCTCTTTTCTGAGGCAGTGGTCTTAGGCAGGAAAATATGTAATATCCCCTCTAGGTCTCCCTTGAAAATTTTTCAAAGGCTATTTTCACTATAGCCCACAGCATTATGAAAATAATCATCAGTAATTTAAAATCAACAAAAATATAATTCTGGGAAACATTCTTTTAATGAAGAACACTTCCCTGTAAATACTCATCAGCAGAGTGCTAGAACAACAATCTCCCAGTCACTGTTTGGCATTATTTCTAAGCTAACAAAATCTAACACGCTTGTGATTCTTGGAGGAATTAATGCAGTAACTAAATTTAATTTTAAATGCAAACCAGCAGATACTCACATTCCGATAATAAACATGGACAACAAGAGTTTACCGGGTTTCCAAGTAAAAACACAATGCAGTTTGCAAACCCTGCAATGTAAATGTCCTCAGTAAACCAGCTATATAAAGATTTCAAATAAAAAATGAATATTTATTGATACTATTTTTAACCACATCTTTTCTAGAAATTCAATGCATCATTTCTATATGCACTGCACAGAATATGCACTTTTAAAAACGTGTTTATGTAAATCACCCATGGTTTCACCATGAAATGCCTTTGCATACAGTTGTGAAGGATAGTTTAATTCCAGAATTTCTTCTACAGATATCTGGATAATACACCATCAACAAAGAATCAACTGAATAACAACCCTTAAAATGCTTTATTGAATGGAGTATTTTTGTAATGTGCAGAAGATATGTCCTAAAAGACTACCGTTTGATTTTTTATTTTTTTAATAACCTCAACAATCCATTAAAAATGAATCTTTATTGAAGGTAACTCCTGAGATAAACAGAAGACTAGTGTAAAAAGTTCCCCTAAAACATTTTCTGTTGCAGATACTAAAAGAAAAACAATGCTAATATGCTACTAAATGGAAACAATTGGAAGTTGAGAATTGAGAAAATGAGAATGGAACTTAAATATCAACCTATGGGGTAGCTTCTTTTGTTGCTGTTATCTTAGATTAACATACATATCAGTTCTCTTAGGAACATCATCAGGTTTTCAAGTCTAATTTTCAAAAGTTGTATGCTTTTTTATCTTTATAAGCTAACTTTACATTCCAAATAACTAGTCTTGCTGTCCCTTGCTTTGGGGTTATTATAGTAATCCATAAAAAACCCCTTTATCGGATTAACACTATAGGCAAATAGAATGACTCAATTAAAGAGGCTTTATTTTTATGTCAGAAATATAACCCAAAACTTCAATAAATAAAGGTTGATAGGAAGCTAGCATTAAGAATCCAAATTGTAACATATGGAGATATCTGGGAGGTCAAATCCTCAAACTCTCCTAAATAGTAAGGAGTCTCTGTAAACTATGAATACATAACTCAAAATTATAAGGACTATGAAGTCTTAAAACTAAAACAACATAATCCAAGTTAATTCCTCCCCACTGCCACCAGATCATTTACATCTAAATAAGGTATATTTAACACAAAAAAGAAAACTTTAAAGAAAGTTGAACAAAATTTGGTGTTAGGGCACAGAGAAGCCCTTTGTGATAGATTCCAGTAGTGGCCCTTGTTTTTTGTCTCCTACAGATGACTACAAAGTTCAATTCCATATGGATATGATGTCTAACAGGGCAACACAGTGGTCACAATACAGCAAAATGTCACACTCTGTAAGCAAAAATATAGCCCACTGCAGAGTTTTCATTAATACACAGGGAGAGTACATAAAAAGGTCATTGGTCATGTGTTACCCAATGGCTACTTCACGGCTGCAAACTGCTAGTGAGCATTAATCTTTTTTTTGGTCACATTACCTTTGAATAATGGGAAAGCTTTGGTGTTTTATAGTTTTACTCCTTTTTAAATGACAAGGTCACTAAAAACTCATGCACACTGAAAAAAAATCATGCAGTAATTAAGGTAAACCATCCAAGCAAGTTTTATTCATTAATATTCATAAATACACACAGCAGCTTCATTAGAGATTTTTTTATTTTTTCCTCTTCAGTTTGAATGTTGAGTATTAGGAGAGCTTTTTTGCACGTCAAGCTACAGGACACAGAGCTTTTTTTCTCTGCACTGCAACCTATATTTACCTGCTAAAAGTAAAAATTGGTTAATTGGAAATGATTATCATATATATCTTTTCTCTCTTCCTTTGAATGTACACAATGTAACAAGAGTGACAGACCTGAAATTACAATCACCAAAACAAACCCAAGATAGTTGTTGTCCACTTTCATTGGCAAATACAGCACAGAGGACATTGTCTGCAAAGTGGGATGCCATCAAAGAGGAGGCTCATTTCCTTTATTATTCTCTTTTAAATTTAGATTTTCTAAAGCAACATCTAGAGGCATAATATCTACACAGCCCATAGCACCAAAATCAGCAATCTCTCCCCGTTCATCCTCATCTGAGGAGGAACTTTCTTCCTGCATCAAAGTGGACAGTAGAAGCTCTTGAACAAACAAGCTGCGATCTGCCTGTTCGCTTTCTTTTGACTGACGTTCTGCTTCTGACATCTTAGGATCATTCAACCTGCATAGCATCACAGAAAGAGAGAAGACAGGCTTAGTAGTATCATCAAAAAAATGGTCTTTCACTAATTACCTAAACAACTGGACTGATGCATGCTGAATAACATCTGAAAGCCATTCCTTTGAGAAACAACCTAGGTACTGCTGCACTTCTTTTGACGTACAAATCTGACAATATCTGACACTCATGATGCAAGAATACAAACATTTAACAAACTTGTTCCTAGATGCTTTAAACCCTCCACTTCATAGAAATACATTTTAAGGCTGACGGGGAAAAATAGCTATTTCTCAAATTTGTTTCCCCACAGAGGCGTTATGTTTTAAGGAGCGTTAAAATTCTCTACTCATCTCTTAAGTGCTCATTTTGTGCCCAGGACAACTTCTAAATTCAAGCATGACAAAATACATTACTAAACGCATAATGCCCAGAGATTCCCAAAGCACAGTACACCATTCTCTTTGCTTATCAGTGCATGCACCACCACCATAGCAGAAAGAGAATTGCTTGTTTCACTTCTGTCCTAGCTCACAAGATCAGTGACTGACATTTGCAGATACTTTCCCTAAAGTTATGATTTTCAAAAAACTTTGGACTGAGATATCACAAGTTTTGATAGAAATCAGCATGACAGCAATAACTTGTCCCAAACCCAGTTTCTAGATACAGAAACTGTTTAAATGTCTTTGTTCTTTATCAACATGCAACTGAAAAACATCTTTCCCCCATGAATCCAGAAAATCAATATTCTAAACCTCTGAAAAGAGCTGGAATGAGGGTGGGCAACTCTTCTATAGTAGAATGGACTAGATGATCATTGTAGGTCTCTTCCAACTGAACTATTCTATTCTATAGATCTTTAGGATGTAGCTATACTTTCTGAAACAGATATGCATACTGCTTATTAAGAGCACAATCCTTCTTTGCCTTTTTCATCCAAAATACTTATTTATATATATATATATAAACCTCTATTCAACCTTCAGCCTTCATTAAAGATTCATTTCCTATTAAATAAAACTACCTTTTAAGTTCTCTCCCTTCACATTATCAGCATAAAAGTTTGAAACATATTATTGTAAAGGCTCTTGTCTTATCAGTAGTAGGGTAAACAAGCACAGTTTAACAAATTGAAAAACAGCAAGTAATATTTATTCATTGACTAGGAACAAACACTCACCAGGATTGAAAAGATGCTACCAATGCAAACAAAAGCATAGTATCTCAACTACAAACTTAATTTAGTGATCTGGCAGTAGTTTTACTGAACTCTATGACCACAACAGGACCAAGGAAAACAGAAATGGCAGAGTTAAAACCACAAACCAAATTACCTCATAAGAAGAAACTGGGAATTCTGTATAGTCTGATGATTGTTTTCTGTGTTAGATGTATTTGTTGCTGCTATAGATTGTGTAAGAGTGGTGGGGATGCTGCTTGTGTTAGTGCGTCTAGTTGCATTGCGGGCAGTTTCCAGTTGTTGTCTTGCTGCCTGTGCATGCTGTCTCTCCAACTGCAGTTGCATCTGCAGTTGCTGTAACTGAGAAGCAGAAGGGCCAGAAGAATTGAGCTGGCCTGCAGAACGTCTCACGCCTGATAACTGAGATAAAAGCTCTGCCAGAAAAGAGAGAAGTTTCTACAGTGAAATCTGCTTAAATATATATCACACAACAGCATAATTATGTCCTCAATACCAGTATATCAATTCCTTTGCTTTCTAAAACCTTTAATCAATGAAATTCATGGAAAAATTGTATTGATTTGAGAAGCTTCATGGGCTATCCATTACAAACACCCCATGTCTCAAAGCCCATGGGAAGATTAGGAATCATCTAAAGAACTATGCATAAAAAAGAGAGTCAAATCTTAAAGCTTTTTAAACTAATAAGAGTCAGCCTATGGGGAATACCATATAAGCAATACCCTGTACAAGAATTCTCTAAAATTGTATCTTCAAGTTAAAATAGCTTTGACCACTTCAATTCTGACTGCAGTTGGTGGCTTTATGCACCTTAAATGCATATTCCAGAGGGAAGTTGTGCTGCAGAAAAGACAAATAATTACAGCATAATTTCAGAGATTTTTAGAAAATATTTCATTCAGAAAGGCTTTTTAAATACTGTATTATATGAAAAATATTTGACCATAGGAGGGTTTTTTTTTGAGACTTTTGACCTATGATGGAAAAAGAGAAATTCTAATGATAAAAAAAGTTAAATAAATCTAGCCAGGATTCCTTTCCTCCAAAGTTCAAGACTGTGACAAATTCTGTCCATGCTAAGCATTTCCCAAAATAAACATTAATAATAAGTTATTGCCCAGTAATTTACTACAGATTATATTCCACACAAAGTTGTAAGTACTACTTTGTTGTGTATTATGCAAGGAGGGCAGAAGTAGTAGATTAGCTTTTTCCCCTATCCATTCAATCCTCGTTAAAGCTGCAAGTCATTATTATAGGTCATGAAAATTTTCCTTCCATCTTACTTTCATGACATAATTATTTGAAACTAGGTTTTTCTTAGGGGAATAAAGCACAATGTGTTAGCTCTTTGCATCAGGAACACTTGGAATACCAACAGTAAATGTTCAAGTCATTTTTAATCAGCACAGCTAATCATTAGCTACCAAAAATATTTTATTTCACTAATTACTGATAACCACCACAAGGAGAAAAATAAATAAATAATGCTTACATGTCTGTTACAAGCACAAGTTCTAACTTCTGGTAGTATGTACTAATTATTACCCCAATACAAAGGAAGACTTATAACACTGCCAGGTAAGACAGATGTATTTTTCCTTGCTATTTGTAAGATCACTTTGAGTACAGTTTAACAGAACCCTGGTAGCAGATGTGAATTTGTAAATTTGAGACACAGGATTGGCATGACACAGACACCCAGCCAGGCTGCACTACATTCTCTGAATGCAAAAAACATTGACACTAAAAAAAAAAACAACCCCCCCCCAAAACTCAAAGGAATACCATTTTATTACACATACCCCTAAATGGGAAGGCCTTGTGAGGCTGAAACAAACCAAGGCAGCCACTTCATGTTTAACTCAGCTAAACTAACACTCACTGCATTGGTAAGAGGAAGTGTTGCATTCCAGGACACACAAACATCCTCTCTTCTTGCACCAACTCAAGACTCATGACCTAACTGAAGTCATAAGGATGACAGAAAATTTTTCATCCTTTTTTGCTGCGATATTTTTAGTAGCAGGAGTGCATCCAGCAGGTCCTGGGAAGTGATTTTTTTCCCCCTCTATTTGACATGGGCAAAGCCACATCCAGAGTTTAGGCTCCCCAGGACGAGAGACACATGGACATAATGGAGCAAGTCTAGCAGAGGGCCAACAAGATGATCAGGAGTCTGGAACACAGTCCAGGAGGAAAGAGTGGGAGAACTGGTTTTGCTCAGACTGGAAAAGAATACTTTGGAAGATATCTTATTGCTGTCTGAATCTACCCACTTGGAAGATACAGGGAAGACTAAGCTAGACTCTTCTCAGAGGCACACAGCAATAGGACAAGAGTCAGACAAAGAAACAAAACATGAGAAATTTCAATTCCATCCTCCCCCCCCCATCCCCTTTTAAAGCATAAAGGTTTTTGAATGCTAGAACAGGTTGTCCAGAGATGTTGTAGGATCTCTGTCCTTGGAGGCATTCACAACTCAACTGAATAAGGCCTTGAGCTGCCAGATCTAAATAGATCTCCTTTGAGAAAGGGGTTGGAAATAGACAGCCTGCAGAAGTCAATTTCAAACTAATTTTTTATATCCTTTTTCTGCCATTTTGATGAGTTAAATCAGCTCACAGAGGGCCTGAAAAGCAGACAACAAAACAGAGGCAAAAGAACGAGGTGGGTGTGTGTGGGTGGGTGGAGCTGCAGCTTCCTCTTTCAAAAGCAAGACACTCTTAAGTTGGTTCACTGCCACAGAATCATAGCTGAACAATAAGAAGCTCCAGTTTAAACATTCATGCCCTTCCAGGATCTGAAGCAAAGACAAATAATAGCAGGGTATATATAACTGTAGGAAGTCCTGAAGTTTCCCTGACACTTATAATTTTTCACTATAAAAGTGTAAGATTGATATCTCTAAGATTTTACATTAGACCATCTAGTCCAACCCCCCTGCCATGGCAGGGACATCTTACACTAGATCAGGTTGTTCAAAGCCCCATCCAATCTGGCTTTGAACACTTCCAACGATGGGGCATCCCCAACTTCCCTAGGCAACCTGTCCCAGTTATGATGAGTTACCCCTATCATAAAAAAAAATTCATCACATCCAATCTAAACCTATCCTCTTTCAGTTCAAAACTTTTGCCCCTTGTCCAGTCACTACAGGCCCTGATAAAACAAACAAACAAATAAACAAACAAACAAACTCTTTGTCTTTCTTATAAGCCCCCTTTACATTTTAAAAGGCTGCAATAAGGTGTCCCCGAGCCTTCTCTTCTCCAGGATAAACAACTCTAACTCTCTCAGACTTTCTTCATAGGAGAGGTGTTCCAGCACTCTTATCATTTATGTGACCCTTATCTGGACCCACTCCAACAGGTCTGTGTCTTTTTTGTACTGCTGACCCCAGAGCTGGATGCACACTGGATGCAGGACCTTACACTTGACCTTGTTGAACTTCATGAGGTTCCCATGGCCCCACTCCTTAAATCTCTCAAGGTCCCTCTGTATGGTATCCCTTCCCTCTAGGGAATCAACTGCTCTACTCAACTTGGTGTTGTCTGCAAACTTACTGATGATGTACTCAATTCCACTGTTTGCATCATTGATAAAGATATTAAATAGTACTAGACCCAGTACAGACCCATCCGTTAATGATTTCCACTTGGACATTTAGCCATTGACTGAAATTCTTTGGATGCAGCCATCCAGCCAGTTCCTTATACATCTAACAGTACTTTTGTCAAACCCATCTCTCTCCAATTTAGTGGCAATAATGTGGGGGACTATATCAAAGTCCTTACAGAAGTCCAGATAGATGACATCCATAGCTCTTCCCCCATCCCTGATGCATTCCCTCCAAGATAGAAGACCAGTACATTAGGCAGGCATGATTTGCCCTTGCCTAGGGCATGTTGTCTGTCGCTAATCCCTGCCTTCCATATGCCTTGACATAGGATCATAGAATCATAGAATTAGCTAGGTTGGAAAAGACCTCTGAGATCATCAAGTCCAACCCTTGATCCACTACCACCACAGTTACTAGACTGTGGCACTAAGTGCCACATCCAGTCTCTTCTTAAATACCTCCAGGGACGGAGAATCCACCACCTCCCTGGGCAGCCCATTCCAATGCCTGATTACCCTCTCTGTAAAGAATTTCTTCCTGATATCTAACCTAAACCTCCCCTGGCAGAGCTTAAGACCATGCCCTCTTGTCTTAGTGATAGTTGCCTGGGAGAAGAGACCAACTCCCACCTGGCTACAACCTCCTTTCAGGTAGTTGTAGAGAGTGATGAGGTCTCCCCTGAGCCTTCTCTTCTCCAGGCTAAAGAACCCCAGCTCCCTCAGTCTCTCCTCATAGGATTTGTGTTCGAGTCCCTTCACCAGCCTTGTTGTTTTTTTCTGGACCTGCTCCAGCACCTCAATATCCTTCCTGAACTGAGGGGCCCAGAACTGGACACAGTACTCCAGGTATGGCCTCACCAGTGCTGAGTACACGGGAAGAATCACTTCCCTGGATCTGTTGGACACACTGTTCCTGATCCAGACCAGGATGCCATTTGCCTTCTTGGCCACCTGAGCATACTGCTGGCTCATGTTTAGCTTCTTGTCAATCCAAACTCCCAGGTCCTTTTCTGCCTTTCCAGGAGTATCTGTTCCATGACAGGCACAGAGATGAGGCTGACTGGTCAGGAGTTCCCAGGGTCCCAATTTTTTTTTTTTTTAATTTAATTGGTTGCATATATTAACATGTACTATGAGATTTTTTTCCAAAAGAAGCATTACATAATACATGGATACTGTAAAAAGATCTGATTAGTTAAAAGTAACAAGCATTAACAGAGATACATATAAAACTCAACCTAGTTGGACTGAGTGCTGAACTTGCAATGAACTATGGGTAATCAGCCTTTCCAGATGCACAGGGGAAAACATGAGACAGTTAAAAATGTATGTAACTTGTTACACAGATTACCTGCAAACAGTTTCTCTCCATTGGACACCTGGAATTAAATGCAGTTTCAAGCATATATGAGTTTCCATTCTAAACTAAGAGAAAGGTCTGTTACCATGAAGTGTGATGTGGACAGTGTGGGGATGTGAGCTCTGAAATGCAGGCCTCAGATGCTCATGGGAGATGGGTGGATTTTGACAGCTGGAGATGGATTTTTTTTTTAAATTTCATTTTAAACACAGAAGAGGGCCTGTGTGTTTGAAGGCCTAAGTGTGATATTTGTTTGTGAAGGACTGTGCTCAACCCCTCCCTTCCCCTCATCAGCTGCAACTCTCTACAGAAGCCTTCATTCAGTCAGTCTTGTCTAGTTTGATGGATTCAGGGAATTCATCATAAAGCTACACTTTGGTTTCCTGTTTAAGTGCATTCAATTGTCTGGAAAGCGTGTTCCACATTAATGGCCTCCTTGGCACTGTTTTCAAAGTAGGGGATGTTGTTTTTACTGTAGCACTAGGCTTGCACCTGTTTTGTGGTGACTTGTCTGTTTTCTAGATCCATCTTGTTTCCCAGCACAAAAAAAGGAAAGTTCTCAGGATCCCTTGAATTGGCCTGAATGAGGAATTCATCCCTTGTGCTGTCTAGGGTTTTGTTGGGGGCTGTGACATCAAACACCAGGATGCAGCAGTCCACTCCCTTGTAGAAGGCAACTCCCAGAGACTGAAATTGTCCTTGGCCTGCTGTATCCTATATCTGCATTGTCACTATCCTGTCATCTACCATGACCTCTTTTGTCAGGAAGTCTGCACCTATTGTAGCCTTGTATTGATTACTGAATTTCTTGTTCACATACTGGTTCATGAGTGATGTCCTTCCCATCCCAGAGTCTCCAAGGATGATGACTTTCAGTAACACTTTCTTCCTTCTTTTACACTGGTGTGTGTGCCACAGAGTCCAGCCTGAGACTTGCTTTTATAATAATAATAATGGCCAGTCTTCGCGAGCGAAGATCCGGGGAAGGTCTTTACACCTTCCAGCCTGCGCATTGGATTTTTTAGGTGAGACACAGTGTGCACGGAACTGAGCCCACCCTTTGATCCTAAGGTTCATCTGCTGGGGCCAAGCGAGCTTGGACAGTGGCAGTGAGGTCCTTAGGACGTAGGTGGGTTGCCTTTAAGGGCTAACGAGCCCCACCTGCCCGGGAGTGGCCCTGACCGGGAATCGAACCCGGGTCTCCACGGTGATAGCGCGGCGCCTTTACCACTAGACCACCAGGGGCTCACCGAGACTTGCTTTTACCCTTCTAAAAAATAGGTGTGATGTTTCCCTTTTTCCAATCACTGGGGACTTCACCTGACTGCCATGACTTTTCAAATATGATGGAGAGTGCCTTAGCAACTACATCAGCCAATTCCCTCAGAACTCTGGGATGCATCTCATTGGGTCCCATAGACTTATGTACATTCAGGTTCCTCAGGTGGTCATGAACCTGATCTTTACTTACAGTGGGAGGGACTTTCCAAGTCCCCATCCTGCTGTCCATCCACTCAAAAATTCAAAAATGCATGCATACATATCATATGAGGAGAGGCTAAGAGACCTGTGACTCTTCAGCCTGGAAAAGAAAAGGCTCAAGGGAGAGGAATTTTAACAGTGTATATAAATACCTGATGGGAAAAATAAAAAAGAAAGGGAGCCAGACTCTGTACTGCCCACTGACAGGGTAAGAGGCAGAAATTAAAACAAATGAAATCCATCTGAATACAAGAAAACACTTTTTACTGTGAGGGTGATCAAACACTGTAACAGGTTGCTCAGAGAGGTTGTGGAGTCCATCTGTAGGAATATTCAAAACCTGACTGGACATGGTCCTGAGCAACCTGCTCTAAGTGGCCTTGCTTGGAGGCATGAGTAGAGGGAAGTTGAATGGGGTTGTACTAGATGATCTTGAAAGGTCCTTTCAAACATCAACCATTCTTTGATACCACCTGTGAACAGCTCAGTCATGGGAACAAGCCTAGAAGTCTCTAAATTTTAAAGCACAAGCTAAAGGGGCAGTGTTTTTCATTTCAGAAGTTCCAGGTTCAATCCCTGTAGACAATCCAATTAAGGATACTTTTCATCAGTAAATACCCATCAATTACAATATTGGAAAGCATTTTTTTAAAGACAGAAAAAACAGACAACTATCATCATCTTGGATTTTGTTTCAAAGTCTATTTAAGGACTTTGAGCTAAAATCAGTGGTTATAGCTCTTACCAGCTATAGGATCCATGGTTTCTCTATTGCTTGGAGAATATGAACTCTGAGAAGATGAAAGGCCACCACTGGAACTGCTAGTAAAGTGCATGTTTGATCTACGTGCACGGGGGCCTCCCAAACCCCGGCCTGGGTGAAACATTCTACGTACGTGCCGGACACCACTAGATTCATCATAACCAAGCAGTTAAGAAAAGTCTTTTGCTATCAAGTATTAAACAGCAAGAACATTTACTAGATTGAATAATTGGGCAACACACTATTCCTCATTCATAAAACAATGATTCAACTTTATAAGCACCATGCAATCATAGCTATGGTGCCAGTAAGACCTATAGATGTGAACCCAAGGCACCCAAGGCTCCTTGCACTAAATTCATCTTTCCCAGGCTTTTTTATCATGTCTAAAAACTGTCAGGATGGATTTTATGCCTTATGGATTAAAGTTTCTACTAGGTAATGCTATAACTGATGATGCATATTCAGCAGAACACATTACTCAATAGACATAAGGATTTTAGCATCAAAATTGGGAAAGAAGGGTATCTAAATACCGAAAATAATCTACAAAGTTGCTATTCTTACCACACAAACTTGTTCTCCCAAGACAGTCTAGCTAAAGCTTCCTTTTATCTTAAGAAGCACTAGTGCAATTAACTACTAAACTAGGAAATAATGTACTTATATATATCGTATTTTTCCAATTTATAAATTAGTAGTTTTAGCTCATCTTATATCCAATTTATTTATTTTCAAAAATAGCATGTTTATCACTTGAATAAAATCTATTATTTGCAGCAGACTGGTGCCCAATGTCTTATCCCACAATGCATAATTATGGCATAGAATTGATTTCCTCACAGTATTACTGAATTGAAAAATTTAAGACTGAAAAATTAAGACTTCTTTTGGCAAGTAAGAATATCCAGTTACCATAATAAATATTTTCATGAGGAATTGAGTCTCTTAAATCTATTATGCTATAGAGCATAAAACATTTCACTTTCAGGAGGGTGTAGGGACAGAATGTGAATGCAGAAGATTTATTTGAGGAAGAAAAAGAGTTTTACTCAAGGAGGTCTTGCTGGGAAAACTAGGCCTAGAAAAAACATGGTGTGGGAGAAAATTCTTTCCCATGAATAGTGCTATCTATTTCTCTGCTTGTCTGTTTTAGAAGTTAGCTTCCCTTTTGTGAGAAGAGATTAAGTTCTTACAGACATGCCTGAGGCCTCTGCTGGGAGAGAGGGAGACCATAAAGCACAGGGGAGAACACAGTCTTGAAGTTATGCACAAGCAAAAGGTGTTGTTATAAAAGCACCAGAATGGTTTTCCTGGGCTGCTCTTTCAACTGCTGCATGATTTAGCAGTGTATTTGGGGTTTCTGATATTGGAACAAACTTTTCCTCAATACCCTAGTTGTGGTTTGGTCACCTGCCTTCATATCAATTCTTACAGGGGGGAGGGGAGGAATCTCCCTTGAGACAGAATATAGTTGTCTAGCACAAATTGATTTGTTCCTCCTTTGTATCTGTTGATACTGGATACTGGTAGTGACAGAACATTGTCACTAATATTTTACTGGTTGACTACTGCTCTCATGCAGTTTGGGAAGCTTTCTATAGCTACATATGACAGAAAAATGCCCCCATTCTGGACCATTTTTAAAGTAAACTTGGAAAATAAGATAACTAGAACATCCTTAATATAAATCCTTTGAAAAAATCCAGCCTTGGTCTCATTTAGAGAAGGGTTGTAGTAGCTTGCTAACTGCACCTTTCAAAGTGTTTTTAAGAAAAGCAACATAATTTAAATATACTAGTTAAGAGTATATTGATGTCTCACCCAACTATGATGGGGTTAAAAAAGCATTTGGAACTCTTAACTCAGTGCAAACATATACTGAAAACAACCAAGCTAGAACCATTTACAAGGTCAAGACTAAAGCTATGTTTTAAACAGTAAAACAGCTGAAAATTGTTTAAGAAAGAAACTGGAATTTAAAGAGCTGTCCAGAGTCTCCAGAGATAAAGGTGGTATCTTGCAGTGTCTGCACAGGATTCTTCACAAGAAATATGTTCAGCCATTTAAAACAGCTTAAAACACCCTTCTAACTGTTACACAGAAGACCATATCCTTTCCTAAACTGATAGCAACTGAGCAGGAGGAAATCTCTCCCCCATTTCTTCCTTTTAGTCTTAACTATCAGAAGACATGAAATAGTACTCAACATGGAAAACTAGTCCAGAAACTCTATCAAGTTTTGTGGACTTGGCAACACTGATTGCTAAAGTAATGTTGTACAGATACTTTCACGTGCATTTCCTATAATTATTTATAAAGACTACCCCCATCAGTTTTGTGATAACTGACACTGTGGCCTTACTCAGAAACTGAAAAGATTACTCTGATTTCTCTAGCTCTTATGTAGCTAGTAATAAAGAGACATTTTACAATTAAAAGTTATCTGACATCACCGATGTGGGAGGGGAAGGAAAAACTTCAGAAGCATGAATTGTAATCCAACACCTCATCCACTTCAATAGGAAGCCAATTTCACTGTGTAATTCAGACTGACAATTAAAATGCTAACAAATTTAAATACAGACCACAACCAAAGTGAAATCATTTCCTTTCATGTTGCTAGCAGTAGATATAATGACCTTGAGTTGTTAGGCCGGTTTTGTTTTTTTTTTAAGAAGCCCTGAACAAAAAAAGGCACTATCAAATTATACCAGGAATGTATTTTTTAAATGAGATACAGAAAGATAAATCATTTCAAGATCACTTAATGAGTTTTTCATGATGGCCTGTACTTCCATGAAGAGTATCTTCTGAAATTACGTTGCAAGAATTTGTACAGCAAAAAAAGTGATACATTACTATTCCTAAGACCAAGTAACAGAAAGAAAATTGTACTTAAAAGTGCAAAGAAACTGACAGTTTGAGCTCTTCAGTCATTGAGCGTAGTTATATCCCTACAATTTGCAGATAACAAAGATAGTCCTAATCCCTAGGAAGTCTCCCTAGATCTTCTAGTTATATCTTTTAAAAAGTCAATAAATAACAAGCTGGAACTACCCCATTGAAATACAGTAATAAAACTAATCAAACACTTAAGATCCCTCAATTTCAAAGTCCAAAGCATTCTCTAACAAACACATGCTTTCAGTGAAGTCTGCTTTCAGTCCTGTGATTATCTATAAAACACTATTACATCTGGATTGCTGCTTTCCCATACACAAAATGGCATCAGAACTAATGACCAAGAAGGGTAAAAACTGCAGAAAGAAGCAGCTGGATATCAGAAACATCTTTATAAGGTTTTGCTATCAGGAATAAAACAAAAACACACACCCACATTGTCAAGCAACACCCAAAGCCCATTCACAGACTGATAGATATAGATATAAATATATATACATATAAACAATTTAGACTTATAGTTCCCCTATAACTAAACACCAATTCTAAAAAATAAGCAAAACTGATGTAGCCATTTGACTACATAAGTCAGAACAAGTAGTTACAGCTATAATAAGGAACAGTCTATTCCTTTTCCCTCAACTTAAGAAAGGATATTAAATCTCTAGGAGCTCTGTGTTCCAGTGTAAGATGAGCTGCAAAGTCATCTGTGACATGATTAGGATCCCCTCCAGGCAATGCTGCACATATTGGACAGATCTGAAACAACAAAATGAGAAGAAAAAAAAAAACCACAACCAACTTTACACAAATCACAAAACACAATTCAGAGTTGATCACTTGACATGGATTCTTATACTTACTTATAATTACTTTTCCTTGTAATTATGCTTTTAATAATACCATGGAAACCAAAAAGTAAAATTTTCAAATCCTATCTGCAATGTTTCAGCTTTCAAATTTGTCTTTCTATGTCAATTCCATCACAGACAGTAGGTCTAGTTACACAGGATTACTGCTTGAATGTACCTATATATGACATTATCAAGTTCACTGTCATAGGTTTGAAAAGAGATGTTGGAATTTTTTCCCAATGTCTGCTCTCCCGCCCCCCCCCCCATCTGTTTCTTCCGGGATGAGGGTGGGGGACAGAGCAAAGCCGCACGCGCGCGGGAGCGGGAGGAGGGCGAGCTCTCTCGGGAAACGGAGGTTGCTGCAGGGGAGGGCTGGGACTCTGTTGTTCGGGGGCTTTAGGGTTTGGTCCGCGGACTGGGCAGAGCAGAAGCCCGGTTTTCGGCCGCCTCCTTTTCTTTTCCTTAGAGGAAGTTTTTTTCCCCACGGGACACCTCGCGGAGGACGACTGAGAGAGAGACCGACCCATCCCAGAGCGAGGTATTCTGCTTTCGACTGCCTGTGGGAAAAAGGACTTTTTTTTTCAGTGCTGACTGCGAGCACACGTGGCTGCGAGCAGCTGTTGAACAGCTGAGACAGTCCTGCCTTCCCTCCCCTCACCGGGTTGCTGAGGATTTCTACTGGACTGATTGGGGTCTTAACATCAGCTACCAGAGTGAGTTGTGGTCTTTGCCTTCAGCCACTGGAGCAGGAACAGTATGTATCCCCAAACACAGCTAATGGGGGGAAATCAGCATGAGTGAGGGGTCAAACACTGGTAACTGAAGCAGGACCACCAGTCACAGCCCATGTGGTGCCTGGTGCCAGCTGCTGGGGGAAGGAGTGAGTGGTTGTCTGCATCTTCCCCAAACCTGGTGTGCATGTATATTGGCTAGTAAGTTGAGTCTAGGCAGAGGTATGAAACAGGCAAGGGTCTGTGCTGGTACACCCAGGGGAACGTGCAAATATGGAGTGCTTGTGAGATGAGTGCATGAGTGTTTGCTAGTGAGCATCAAGCTGGACTAGCTGGCAAATAGGAGACCAATGAAGCAAGTAAGAGTGCCTGGGATCCAGACAGGGGCACTGGACAAAGAGGGTCATGCCAGTACTCAAGGGATGACAGTGAACGTGCGTGCGCTTGTGAATCTAGAGAGTATTATGGGTACCTTCACTATAGCAGCAACCTTCTATCTCTACCAGGTGAAGAGGAAGGAGGGAACTTGTCTGCCTTATGTTTTATGCAAGTCCTACATGTAGGTGCTGTTGAAGGCAGCACTATGTCGGTGCTTATCTGTGTGATGGGCCATGTGTCAGTGTCCTCCGTGTGTGTACAGGTCTCCGAAATATGTGCTCAGCTTCACTACTGGTTGAACCTGAAAATGGGAAAGTGGCAGCTGCATCCCTCAGCCTAGGCAGAGGCCCTGGCTCCCCAGGCTGGGCTTCAGTAGCTGAGCAGAAGGGAGTCCTGGGCTGGATAAAGCAACCATGCTCTTAACATCCCTTAAAATTAGAAAGTCACCATATTACTTGGAATGAAATCCAGGATATTACTAAAAAGCCTTACGCCAGTAAAGCTCCAAACATCACAGTTGACTTGACAGTTTCTAGATCTGTTCCCTTATTATCATCACCTCCCCATGTATACAAGTATACTGATTTTGGCTGGGATAGAGTTAAATTTCTTCATAGTAGCCCATATAGTGCCATGCTTTGCCTTTGTGACCAAAAGAGTGTTGATAACACACCAATGTTTTAGCTATTGCTGAACAGCTCTCACGCATCATCAAGACCTTTTCTGTCTCTCACACTGCCCCAACAGCAGGTAGACTGGGGATGTACAAGTAGTTGTGAGGGGACACAGCTGAGACACTTGATCCCAACTTACCAAAGGGATATTCCATACCGTATGCCATCACACTCAGCAATAAAAAACACAGGGAAGAAAGGAGGATGGTTCAGAGTTATGGTGTTTGTCTTCCCAAGAAATCATTACATGTGATGGAGCCCTGCTTTCTTGGAGATGGCTAAACATCTGCCTGCCAATGGAAAGGAAGGAATGAATTCCTTATTTTGCTTCGCTTGCATAGGCAGATTTTGCTTTCCCTATTATCTCAACCTGCAAGTTTTTGCACTTTTACCTTTCTTATTCTCCCTTCCATCTTATCCCATCCCATCCCCCTAGGGACAGGGGACAAGTGAGCAAGCAGCTGTGTGGTGCTTAGTTGCCATGAGCACTGGACCATGACCAGTATTTTTGGCATGCAACCTAGAACTCAAAGGGTTTGAGATAATGACAGATTTGACCAGAGCATATTAGAGGGAACATATAATTATTATAGCTGCTTAACCATCCATGATAGTAACTGATGAGTAATGCCCCTCCTTATCCTGACCAATGAGCATTTTTCCATATTTTCTACCCATCCTGTTGCTGGGGAGGGAGGTGAGATAGAGCAGCTTGATGGGCACCTGGCAACCAGCAAAGGTTGACCCACCCCACCCTGGTTCTTTCACTTCAGTCTAATTGCTCCCTTAGTAAATACAAAATGGATCCACTAAGTCTGACTGAGTAGCAGAAAACTGACGTCTTTATTCTGAAACTTGATTCAAAGATGATATCTGATTGCATTTCTTACAATTTTCAGAGCTACAACCCTAAAAAACCCCAAACTTCTACCTGAATACTGTTTTTGAAACCCAGTAGCAACAGTAACAATCATCATAATGCCAGCCACATCTATCTGAATTTGCCCGGTATCGCTGACCATTACCCTTGATCATTTGATGGAGAAATAATAATTACTGTGCTTTCAAATCTAAAAATGAAGAAATATACACTGATAGTTCATATGTTTTTAGGAAAAAACAGGACACTTTTGAGTCTCAGAACAGGTTGACCAGTTTTACCTCCTCTGCTACTCCTTGATATAAGGCCCTTAGCAGGCTCTAAGAAGAGAGATTGTCCTTCTCCCACATAATTTCCAAAAAAAATTTTCTTCAAGCATGCACGTTTTTATAGGAATCTACAACAAAAATAACTAGACATTTCCCTGAATGTCCTTCTGTAATCATACATTCCTCAGGCATGCACAGTATTGACACACAAATATAAATATATTCCCCACTGCTGGAAAGACACCCAAACTTCTTAGTCAAGAATTTAACCTAGGATTGCTAACACACATAACTGTTGAATTAGTGAAGTGGGCTTTAGAAAGAAATACAAAACATACCTGCACCATAAAGAGAAATCTAAAAAA